CMRRAAAAAAGAAAAGTAATTATGGAGACTACTGTTAATGATCAGATCTTCAGMAAAAGCTAATACGGTGTCTGAAGTTGTGTGGTGATTCCTTCAGCACCTCGAGAGTGCTGCTGTTAGTGAMCAATCAGCTGGGCTCCTGCAGCAATTCCTGGTCCATGTCCTGCATGGTTTTCCTGTGAACTTTCTGGTCCCACCCCAGGCCCYGAGCCAAACCTATCTGAAGCAAAAGTTTGTATGTGAGCATAGGAAAGGCTGTTGTTAGGATGATGCAGATGTTTCTGCTTGTGAAACTGAGTTACGATTCACTCATTAATTCACCTGACCAAAATTGTTTGCTCTCAAAGARACAATCTTCATATAGATTTGTTGTTCTGAGAAATACTGCACAACTTACAATACCTGTCGTAATTTTCTCACACAGTTTCAGCTTCTGTTTTCCATGTAAATGTTAATCCATAAAAAAATCACAGTAAAGTAAATGTAAAGAGGTAGCAATTTTTCCACCATTTGAAAAACTGAAGGCAAAAACACATTATAAACTCATTAAGAACATACATACAGTTTCTTCAGAAGAAACAGTATTACTGAATAAAAAAGAAATTTTCATGTCTTTGCTAAATAACAATGAAATTTTTGTAAGTCATAGCAATGAGGTAAATCAATTCATCTCTTGTGGCAGTGCTTCTTCATGTTGCTCTCAMGGGTTACAAGTTTAAATCTCTTTGAATTTAATTGTAACGTGTTGTTACCCTCTTCATTTTGTCCAAGTAAATTAAAACTAAACTTTGGCTGGAGTTTAGGCGAAAGTGATGCAGAAATATGATGTCACAAGGATCTAGGCATGTTAATATATCTATGTTGAGTCAAACATCGTGAAACCTGAATTTCTTTATTTATTCTTTTGAGGTGAGAGAGCAAGAGAAMAAGAGAGAAACTATTCATACAATCACAGTCACAGAAGTATATGTAAGGATTATAAATTTTTTTAACATCTGCATTTTTCATTCGTTCCACTAATCAGGAAAAAAAGTTTCATCATTACAAACGGTTAAAGAGGTATTTCTGATAACAGTGGTTTTTTTTTTTTTTTTTGTTTTGTTTTGTTTTCCAGTTGAAATACAGTAATGCTAGCCCAGACAGCATGATTACACGTTTCTTTGTATTTCCAGTAATCTTTTGCCTATGGTCTGATG